ATACTTATCATAGAGAATGCAATGTTCTCCTCCAAGTCTAAGAGGAACTTGTTGAGTTTTAAAAATATCCGTCGAAATGGATATCATATTGAGAGAATAGATGAGAATAATCTTGAATATCTCATCATTACCAAGAATGTCTCTGGCCAAAAGTGGGTTATTGAGAAGTTCCCATCTTTATCTTGTGGCATGTATTGGACAAGAATTAGTGCAATTGAGCCATATTCTATTGTAAATCAAAAGGTTACGGATTCCAATACTTTTGTACTTTGGCATGATCGATTGGGACACCCTGGATCAATTATGATGAGACGAATTATAGAAAACTCAAATGGGCATCCATTAAAGAATTTAAAGATTCTTTTAAATAATGAATTTTCTTGCACTTCTTGTTATCAAGGCAAGTTAATTATTAGACCATCACCAACAAAGGTTGGAATTGAGTCCCCTGCGTTTTTGGAACGTATACAAGGGGACATTTGTGGACCTATTCACCCACCTAGTGGGTCGTTTAGATATTTTATGGTCTTAATAGATGCATCTTCTAGATGGTCTCATGTGTGCCTATTGTCATCTCGCAACCTCGCGTTTGCAAAATTAATGGCACAAATAATTCGATTACGGGCACAATTTCCCGATAATCCAATTAAGTCTATTAGACTTGATAATGCTGCTGAGTTTTCATCCCAAGCATTTAATGATTATTGCTTATCAATTGGGATAAAAGTGGAACATCCTGTAGCTCATGTTCACACTCAAAATGGTCTTGCAGAGTCTTTAATTAAACGTCTGCAATTGATAGCAAGACCGTTACTCATGAAAACGAGGCTGCCCACTTCTGTTTGGGGTCATGCCATTTTGCATGCAGCAATGCTAGTTCGTCTCAGACCGACAAATTATCATAAATATTCCCCGTTGCAACTAGTTTTGGGTCATGAACCTAATATATCCCATTTAAAATTTTTTGGATGCGCAGTGTATGTGCCTGTAGAACCGCCATATCGCACCAAAATGAGTCCGGAAAGAAGGTTAGGAATATATGTAGGGTTTGAATCGCCCTCCATCATTCGATACCTAGAAACATTGACGGGGGATTTGTTTACTGCACGATTTGCAGACTGTCGATTCGATGAGACACTTTTCCCAAAATTAGGGGGAGAAGTTGGTGAAACCAAACGGGAAATTTTGTGGAAAAATCCATCATTATCTCATCTTGATCCACGTGCCTCTATTTGTAAAAAAGAGGTGCAAAAGATTATCCATTTGCAAAAAATAGCAAATCAAATGCCAGACGCATTTACGGATTTGAAAAGGATAACAAAATCACATATCCCTGCAGAGAATGTTCCAATCCGTATTGATGTCCCTATTGGACAATCTTCTAGTGTCATAGCTAATGAGTCAAAAGTACGCCTAAACATGGCAGACTATTAGGTTCCAAAGATCGAAATCCTAGAAAAAGGAAAACAAATGATCAAAATGACACTACGAAAGAACCTCATGAAGAAATCCACGATTTAATAAATTCTGAGATTCATGAGGAATCCACTAAGCCTGAGGCTCAAGAAAATAAGGAACTATCAATAAATCCAATCGATATTGAGACAAATTTGAATCGAGTGGATATAGTGGTGGATTATGTCTTTGCATATAATGTTGCATCTAGCATTATGCAAGAAAGTGAGGATCTTGAACCTCAATCTATTGGAGAATGTCGACAAAAACTTGATTGGCCAAAATGGCAAAAAGCAATCCAATCAGAGTTGAACTCACTTGCAAAACATGAAGTTTTTGGGCCTGTAGTCCAAACACCTAATGGTGTTAAGTGTGTTGTCTATAAATGGGTCTTTGTACGCAAGAGAAATGAGAAAAACGAGGTACAAAGATATAAGGCACGCCTTGTTGTACAAGGATTTTCACAAAGGCCTGGTGTCGATTATGAAGAGACATATTCACTCGTTATGGATGCTATAACGTTCCGTTATCTCATTAGTTTTGTTGTCCATGAAAAGCTTGACATGCATTTAATGGATGTGGTTACCGCTTACCTTTATGTCTCACTTGATAATGAGATATACATGAAAATTTCCGATGGATTTAAAATGCCAAACGCACATAATTCAAAGTCTCAGAAAATGTTTTCAATCAAATTGCAAAGATCTTTGTATGGTCTAAAGCAATCAGGACGAATGTGGTATAATCTGTGAGCACGTGATTTTGCTTCACGAAAACTACTCCAAAAGAAATCGAAAAATAAAACAAATTGCCTTTGGGTACAGTTTTGAGAATTTTGCGTGACCTTTTGGATAGTTATTTTTGTCTATGAATGTTTATCTTGTTTTAATTAATTGAAAAATACCAAAATACATGTTGCATGCATATTTAGGATTTAATTGTGCATTTTTGAGTTAATTAAACCATGTCCTATTTTAAAGAATGAAAATCACAAAAAATATGAATTTTGGTAGCTTTGTCATTTTTATTGTTTAATTGTGTGATTTTATTTTTGTTTGAGCTTGTGTGTTAATTATTGTTAAGGGTTAATTAATATCTTTTTAAAATAATCTTGGTTTTACAATTTAATTTAGGAATTTTGGTTTTTAGGAATTGAAAGAAAATGAAAGGGAAAAAGAAAAGAGTGAAATCGGATTGGAAAATCAAATAACGTACATTACTTGCATATTAGGGCCCGCTTTGAGGTTGTAATGACAGATGATAGTGGATCAGCGGTTGCAATATTATTAGGCGAACTAATAATCTCGGTGAAATTTCTTGATATGACCGCCGCAGATATCTGTGAAATAATCTCGGTAAAGGTATGTTGTGGATGGTAACAATAGAAACATTGTTAAAATTATGACACTGTGAAAATAAGTGTACTATTAATTCTTTCTGTTCTGTCCTCGTTAATGTATGCCTTTAGGTATATTGAAAATAAGCATAGTTGGAAGGCCATTAGTTACACATGTTCTACCCCGGTGTCATTTTGACAAACCCACTTAACTGAAAAGCAATACTGATTCTTGTCAAACAGGTCCTAACTTGTTCTGTTGGTGGCCTAATTTTGAAGAGCATGTAAAATACAAAACCTTGATAGGTTCCAACTGGGCTTTTTCACAAATAATATCATTTTAGAGCTTTCATTTTCACTGTGGTGGCCGAAACATAACCTGGACCAAGCCTAACCGGCCCAACACCAGGTCCAATCCAGAGAAGCCAAAGCCTAACCCGTGCAACGCTCCATTCCAAGATGGCACACAAATCTAACCCATTTCTAAGCTCTTAAACTGTAATAATCCAGTTCTAGGATGCACCAAACAAACAAGAACTTTAATTGCCTTCCTTTACTTTTTACTTGTCAATTCTTGCATTTAGATTTTGTTCATTCTGTTTTGATCTTATTTTTAATGCTATCAATGCCTATTCCATTAACAGGTGCAATTTAGTATCCACACATCCTTGGACTTTGAAGTAGTTGGGTGTGGGATAGGGGATTCCAGGTACCTGCCATTCTATTTGAACTTCCCATATTAAATACATTGACTTAAATTTAAAAGCTTAAAATAATTTTCCTGTCTGGAGCTAGATGATGCAAATCCTTTAAATGACCGAAAAAGTTAGATGTCTTTTAATTTCCTCTGCATTCCAAGTACTTTATAGGCTACAAACATCAATTTTAACTCAGAGTATATCACTTTTGAACACTATCTTGATATGTTAAATTCATCTTTTTCTCTCTTGCAGAAACAACCATTACCTCTTGAACATGTTCGACAGTGTCTTCCTCATAAACTCTTCAAGATACAACCGAGGAAAGCATTTTCTAGAACTTCTGATATGCGGTTGTTCATTGTGTCCTACTTTGTCAAGGAAGATTTGTTTCAGTTGCCCGCACCAGTAGCCTCTGAAGAAATTGGAGAAAGCAGTAACACTAAATTAGAAAATGTTGCAACAAGGAAAGAGCTGAAGAAAGAGTTAGAAAGCTGGAGAAAGCAGTCAGTCGACTATGGAAGAAGTTACACCCAGAGAAGAGCTGGAGAACGAGTTAACTACAGAAGTTGGCTCTTCTACCAAAAGGCAACAAACTGAGCTGGAGACACCCCCCCCAAGAAAAAATGAAGGTTAATAAACTTTGTCTCTACTTTTTTATTACTCTTTTTAACATGAAGAATAAATAAGTCACACAGAACTCAAATAAAAATAGATGTAACAATGACAACATCAAAATTGGAAGAAACCTTTGAAGTTTCATCTGGTCTTGGTACCTTCGAAGGTTGAGTTACTTTAGCTCAGGTTTTCTCTTTTTATTTTTCGGTTAGTATCCAACTTCATCATATATGGCTTGAGGGGAAATTAATTCAGACTTTAGCTACACAAACATCCAAAATCATACATTTTGTAATAACAAAGAGAACATAGAAATCCATGTGCATCTAGTTCAGTTAACACACACATACAATGTTGTTGAATAGGTACCATTATTATAAATATAGATTGCCACCTTTGTACCAAGCTAAAGAAGAGAAAAAGGGCACAATATAAACTATTATTTAGTAACATAATTAGTCAACTGCACCATTGTAGGCATCAGTAACTAAGAAAATATTTTCCAGTTACAAAAATATTTCATTATGCTTTTATCTTTCTGTTCGAGTATAACCAGCTCTATATTCATTGATGCTTCTACACATCTAAAGCTAACAGTTCACAATAATTAATCTTCTTCTTGATGGCCACCTAAATCTCCTATAGTTCTCTCAAAACTTGCTTCACTTTCCAACCCATTTGCACCTTCCATATAACGAACCTTTTCCTCAATTCCTCCAACTGTTTCTCCATTATATACATTTTCTCCTTCAAAATTTACTACTAAATGATTAAGTAAAAAAATGAGATAGAGGATGTATCAGTAAAAACAAAAAGCATAAAAAGGAATTTATAAAGGCAAGAACAATGTCATGCAGTAAAGTACACCACAAGTCATAGAAATAAATATAATTGACGCATGAGTTCCCACATTAGAAGCTGCCAATATTAAGATAAGGGCAATGCTGTCCGAAGAAGCTTCTTCAGAAAATCATTTGGGAGTTCTGCGATCATTTGGGAGTTCTGCGGTTGCCGGTAAATTTTTTATCTTTCTATTTAGAAATTCAGGAATTAAGTGTTGAAAAGAGTTTCACCTTATTAATTAACATTTGAGTGTTTTTGGTAATTCGCCTTTTGCAATTCCCGTCTTTCAACCTTGAGTCCTCTACTGGATTCTTTGACTAAAGAACAAATAACTCAAAAAAACTTCAAATGTTGATCAGTAAATTTTCATTTGTTCACATCATAGAGTATCAGGTTTATGTCATTCCTCAACTATAGTGTTTGACTATACCACTCCCCTTATTGGCTTCATTTTTTTCTTTTTCCTTTTCGTTGTGAGAAGAGGGTAAAAATGGGGGGAAATGAGTTAAGATTTTATCAAAGAAATCGTCCTTACCATTACTTAGCATCTTACTAATGTTCACAAATCGTTGTTGGATAAATTTTGAGCACACTATCTTTCATCAAGTTTCAATTCCATTGTTTATGCGTGAAAAAGCCTTCTCTAAGTCCTTCTGTTAATATAGAGTTGTTGCATTCTTTATGCCTAACAAAGACTTGGTTATAATGTTATTCTATAGAATCTCTATGTTTCAGTTAGGTTCTGAATTTTCTCCTGTTATACAATATGCTTTTCAATATAAACTACTGATGTACTTCAATAAAAAAAACCTAGCATGAGGTTCCAAAACTTATATATTTTTCGGCTGCTCTTACATTCACTCTCTTCTTTGTATGTACATACGTGTTGCAAACTCGCCAGTTTGTCTGTGATAGGTACGACAAACAACAGCCTACTACTTTTTTTATCTACCAAATTACTTTGTCAGCTGCCATTATTGACATCCTTTTGTTTTCAAAATACTTATAAAGAAGTAGTACTTTATCTGTACAGGTATTCTAAGACATTCTTGTGCTTGGATTGATTTATACTTTTTACCTTGCACTTTTATTGACTAAGATTATGCAACAAATTTTTCAATATAAATTATGGTTTACTGATAGGAATTTTTTGTTGACGAAAAAAGGCATCATTATAGATCTTACGTCTGCTTTGTTCGCAGGGTGTTATAACTATGTAAAATGCCTGTATATACGTCTTATCCAACTATGTAAATACGTGTTTGAAAATCGCCAGTTTTTGCTTGACAGGTAATACAAAGAACAACCCCTACCTTTTTTAGCTATCAGAAAATATTGCCACTTGCCGTTACTGACGTCGTTTTGTTTCCAATATTGTAGAAAACATGGACACCACAGTTCACTTTGTGTAACTTACTGGCATGTACATTTATATTTCTGTTAGCCGGTAAAACATATTGGTGTTGTAACAGATGTAAATAGTGGGTTGAAAGACTGACAATAAATATGATCTTCTTTTTTGGCTTGAATTTCTTTTCTTCACTCTGCTACATATCCAACTTTCTAAGACTGAATCGAAAGAAATTTATTGTTATCCAAAGTATAATGACGCACCTCGTCCTACAGATTATAATGTTTAACAAATCAACTCACATATCTCAATACATAATTGATCAAACTGCAATTGTTCTCTATAGAAAGTAATTTATTTTCGTTATGAATTAATATAAGCTGCTATTTTATCAAGTTTGGGCCAGGGTTCAGCACGGGCCATTCCCACTAGTATATATATAGATTGTTCTCTATAGAAAGTAATTTATTTTCGTTATAAATTAATATAAGCTGCTATTTTATCAAGTTTGGGCCCGGGTCCAGCACGGGCCATTCCCACTAGTATATATATAGAAATGAGAAGTTGGTCGACCAAGGGCAAAATTGTCTTTTCGCTCAGTCCTTTACTGCATGCTCAACATAATTCCCGAAGCATTATTTTCTATTGCCTTGTTTCCACTTTTCTTAGTTGCTCTCACTCTCCCTGGTCTTCTTCTCATAAAGTGTAAAGATCTTTCTTGCAACAAAATTGAATTGCCGTTTGTAGGCGTCGACAAACCCCTAGAATAGCGACTTCATGATTTTTCTCTGGTGGTTGAGGACCTTTCTAAAGTTTGAAAAGCAATCAAACTGTTAAATATCAATGGTAAAAGAGGTAGTTTTCTCCTTAAATTTCAGTCTTTTTCCTTGCATTATAGTTGTTCATAGATTCTTATAAGCAATTTATGATGGGAATTTTAATGGGTTTTCTCAAAATCGGGTTTGGGGATTATATTAGAATTTTATTTGGAAATTGGGGGTTTTCCTTTTGAGTTCCTGAATATGCTATGTTTCTACATTAGATGTGTGCTGCTCTTACAGGTGACTGTACAGTTGATGCTCCAGTAATTATGACTCCAGAAAATAAGCCCTCAACTCTAATACCCTCTAAGGTATCTCTTCACTGTCTCTGTGACAACATTTCTCTGACTTTTCTTGAGGGCTATTTTTTGTATTCTTGTCTCCTTATTTTTTTTTTAATTTTTAGAATTTTGTTGGTGATTATGAAGAGCTTATTTGGGCTCTTTTTTTTTTTGGTTTGGCAGCATGAGATTCCAAATAACTACTTTAATTAATATAAAGGTGAAAGAAACAACAGTCTTTACTATCGCTGACAAGTTGCAAGTAATGAGTTGTATATTAAGAGCAATTTTATAACATTCATATAACTCTTGTAGTTTATATTTACTGTTCTTGAGATCGAAGTTATAGTATAAGAAATATTTTATGAGAGCTATATTGAATACTAACTGTTAGAAGTTAAAAAGATTCCACTTTGAGGACTATAGTGAATACTAACTGTTAAAAGTTGAAAAGATTTCACTTTGGATAACTCATCATTCACATGATATCATAAGTCAAGTGAAGTATGCATTTCTGATATCAAATCTGTAATAGGCTAAAGAAACAAAGACTGATCGTAGGACAAGAAAAGGTTTTCAATTTGCTGTAAATTTGATGGGCCCAAAAGCAAACAAGTATGGTGAATCTTGAGAGTTCTTCTGCTCCGCATCAAAGTTTCTTTGTCTTGATAATTTATTTACGGTTATGAAAATTGGAAAACTAGACATAGATAATTCCTAAAGGTCGGTAGTGCTCGGTCTCTTCGTTCGTAGGCTCGAATCATATTATTGTAAACTAGCTTTGTTAGAAGATAACACACTCACTGCCACAGGTGAATATGCTTCACATTTTCAGTATATCAATTAATTTGGTTCAGCTAAGATAATGAATCAGGGGATTGCCACTGAACAAGTATGAATGTCATTTATTGCTAAGATCTCCCCGTACGCTATTTGCAATCTCTTTACCTTAAAAATGTTTATATCAATATATGAGATTTCACTGTAATAAAAAGTATATGAATCAGTACACTAAGATGTAGCTTAATTATTAACCTTATTCTGATGCCCAATGCCTTTTGAACTGAAAACCACTGAACAAGCATTTTAAAATGCTACAAAAAGACCTACCAAAGGTGATAGACGAGGTTTCATGCTTAGCTTGTATGATGTTATATAATTCTGTCATTGATTGCAAATTTCTTAGTTGTTTAGTACCAATATCAGCAGATGTGGTGGAGTTGATAATTTATTCTCTGGGTTTTAGATCTTTTGCTTGAATATGACTTTAGGTGATGTAGTTGAAATGGTGGCAGATAATTTGTTGGTATAGTGATTGATGCAGTAATTATAAAATGAATAAACAATTCTTAGGTAGTAATTATAGCTTGGCTAATTGGCTTGGAATGTTTGAACTGTCAGCGTTATGATGTAGGCTCTGTAGTGTGATTAACAAATGTCGTTTTTCAAATTTGTAAAGCGTATATCCATTTCAGTCTTGTCACAATAAACCCGGTTGCTTGAAGGCACATATGTTGAATCTATGTAAACGACGATATTTCCAAAAATGCAACACACTAAAAACATATGATAATGTAAATATGGATATAGGAATTTTAGTTTTAGTTGTATATGTTAAGAATTACTCTAATTGTTTTTTATAAATAATTAAAATTAACTTTCAGTTTTTTGCTCAATATAATGGTAATTATTATGATGTTGGCATATAATAGGTTTAGTAGACTGTCAGCAAGATGCACTCCTAGGTGATGGTAAGACTATACTGCATGCACAACTTTGTGAGCAAATTTTTTTCCAGATAGATTATATGTATGCTTAAGAAGGTATTTATGGAAGATAATTTTTGACGATGCAGCATGGAGGTAAGAGATTGAGACTCTTAAAAGAACTATTGAACTATAGAAACAGAGCACTACGAGGGATTGATTAGTTAGCATGATTGGAATAACTCTGCATATGGTTGAAAATATGCATAGTGCACATCTTTGTTCGTCTTAATATTTAAAAACGAGTGTCATCGTGTACGTCTGTGCTTTACTGTTATTACTTCACCCTATCATGTTATATTTTCACTGGAGTTAACATTTTAAAGTTTGTTGTTGTCGTATTAATGTACTATGGCATTCACTTCTGTCTTCTGAACAAGAAAGGTTAATCCAGAGAAATTTTCATTCAGTGAGGAAGGTAAAGCCTTCCATGGTGAAATGGAAGTGATTGCTCAAGGTCTGTTTTGAGAAATGGAAGAGAAAATAAGGCCTTCCAGAACTACTTTTATCAAGAATCACATACTCTTGCAATACCTATTCCCAAGTGCCTTCTTATGTACTAGATAACAATGTAGTTTAAGAAATAGATAATGCAGATGATTCTTGTCTATATAAAAATGAAAAATAAATGTACTAATGAACCAGAGCCTATATAAATTGTTGGTATTATACTGTTTATTTCAAATTGTTGGGCCCGTGCTAGCACGGGCCATGGTGCATCTAGTGAAAATAATAAAAGAAGGAAAGATAAGAAAATATTAAATAAAATCTTAAACTGTTATAAAAATAAAGACTACAAAGTAAATGAAGTTGAGAAATGTATAAAAATAAAGACTACAAAATAAATGAATTGTTTTGACTCCTTATTTATAAAAGAAATGAAGTTGCTTCAGCATTGATGCCTCTGGCATATTACTTGTGTAAGAGCTGGTTGAGAATAGGTGCAAACGCCAATGATCTTAGAAATCTTAGTTGCGTGCCTTTCACTAACTTCTTCATCTACGTTAATGATCATCTTCTTGAGAATAGGCGCAGACGCCAGCACTAACCTTACAAATAGCAATTCCACTCTTGAACCATGGAATCTATGTATTTTCAGAGCTTGAAGTTTATTGAGTTCATCAATCCTGCAGCCTTGTACTTTCAACAGATTTACATCTACTTCCCTGGAACCTTTCTTGATCCGACTCAACTATAAATAGTATAAAGAAAGAATAGTAAGATTTGCAATTTCTATACTGGGAAACGGAGTAATAACTCATGAATTCAACAACTCACCAGAAGGTTAAGCAACTTCAAATTGGGAGAACTTCTAAGGATGCATAGAAGGGAACAAATTTGATCTTCATCATTAAAATCAAAATCATAAAATTCGAGATTGACCAAGTAATTGAGCATAGTTGACAGCCTCCTTTCTAAATTACCATAAGCTAAAAACTAGACAACAAAAAAACCAAAATAAGAACATTAATAGTCATTTTGAGCTATGCAAAGATATCAATTGCCATCTTACCTTGAGGGAGCATCCGTCCAAAATAAGTGCTCCAATTTCAGGCAAGCTGCTGAGAAGTTTTACCAATTCCATTGCTTCATGTTGTCTGTTTTGTGAAACTTCTTGTTGTGGTATAACTGCAAAAAATTTTACCTTCCGACAATCCTTGAAAGAAATCCATTTAATTGTGTCAATGCCACAATGGGAAAATTTTAAACTTAAAAGTTCTGGGGCATATATATTCAAGTGATGAAGACCACTACACTGCATAAACATCAAATCTAGAAGATTTGGAACAGAGAGGAAAGAAGTTGCAACGTCTAATTCAAATGTGACTCCAACAAATTCAAGGCTTTTGAGCTTGTGGAAACCTCCAAAACTGCATGGCGGCCTGAAAATGCAACTTGACAGACTCAATTGTTCAAGTTCCATACCATACACATAGGAAGGCAACTTATAAGGAGCATTCAGATTTCTTGGATTCATGAGGGTGAGATCCACAAGACCATTTCTTGACAAATGTAGCATCCATAGATCAATAACTGAGTGGTTAGAAGGATTTATTATTGAAAGATCAAGGAGAAATGTCTTAATGGGTCCATAGTGGTGCAATAGAATTCTATTAATGATGTCTGTTGTGCTTGATTGCTTTTCCTTTCTGTAGAAGTCCGTAGAAATTCTTAGCTTTGGATTTGAAGCCCAAACATGTCTCCACTTACTGGACAAGACACTCATTCTTGCGGCATCCTCAATAGTCATGTACTCTTGAATTTGGTGTATGACATTAATAGGAAGATCTGTAAGTCTATCAAGTTTGTCCCTTCCATTTTGAGGTCTTTTATAGCTATTTGTCATCATGATTGTAAGTCCTGACCATTTGAACCAACAAAAATAAGTGAAGTAATTTGCATAGAAAATGCTTCACACATGTTACACATATTCAACTTTATTGATCACAGACTTCAAAGTGTTAGTATTTAATTAAACCTTGGGATATTGTGCTGACAAAAGAATACCACAACGATGGTAAATTAGACAATGAAAAATCATGCCAAAGGAAGTACAAAGATTGGTGTTGTTCACTCTACTAGATTAACATTCATAGGCGGAGATGAACAATCCGCCGTTCAAAAGAGAATATAAAAGTGAGTATAAAATATCAAAAGAATAACTTCACAACATTCACCCTTAAAGAAACACACTCAAGCGAATGCATATTATTTTCATTTTTTTCTTAATGCTTATTATTTGGTCTCAATAAAAACTATTACCTTTGTTTCATTTTATTTGGTGGTGTTTGTCTAAAAAAGAGTTAGTAATAAAGTTTTTCACACATAAGCTAAATATATATAACATACCAAAAATCAAATGTCAATGCCATTACACAGTTTATGGCAGGATGTATGTTTGTTGCTCTGGTTGAAAAGGCAGCCTTAAGAGGACGGTGTTCTATGGATAGACAATAGCTCATTTTTATATTTGGTTATTACATAAAGAGACAAAAGTGGATGAATAAAAAAGGGAGACATCGAAGAGGGAAGAGAAAAATCAGACCACTTATAGATTAATGAAACACCTACAAAAGATTCTTGTTAGGATATTAAAACACAATTGTCCAAGTTATATGTAAGTTTGATATATCTATAATTGTTGATACTCTTTTCTTTTTTTGGTTTAACAATAGTCAACAGCTGTCTTTCGACCAATCGATTCCATTCTTTGTTTTATAACTTGACAGAAAGACACTATCCAATATTTGAATTATAATAGAATTCACTTAATTTGCCGAAAATAAAATCAATTATTTACACTTATTTAGTAAATTTTAATACGTAAAAGGGGCATGTATCAAAAATATTGGGTTTGGATAAACCCATAAGTAAGAATCTACATTTGCCCCTAAGGGCGGTTATACTCTAATAATGGGTTTATCCCTCTCCCCCCTCTCTCTCTCTCTCTCTCTTTTTTTTTTTTTTAATTTTAAAACCCCTCCCAAATTAGGAGGATCTATAGTGTTTTCACACTTCCCCTCGAACTATCTAATTTTCAAGAAAGATAGGGACAAGTTAAAAGATAATTACATAACAATCACATGGCTAGCAATGTTTATACATTGCTATACAATTCATACAAGTTTGATATATTTTTATACACTATTATACACTTTTATACAAGGGAGATAAATTGCCTATAAACGTATATGATTATTGTATAATCTATATCTATACTATATTAAAAGCACAAAGGCCCTTAGCGAAATATCGTTTGCCTTTTTAACCCTTTAAAATAGAGTTCATATTGGACAAAATCGACATTTAAAATTGTTTCCTAATATTTAAAAATTTTAGATCAACTAAATTTTGTACTTTAAATTATTCCTTATTTGAACTAAGTAAGAAATCCTAATATTTAGGACTTTAAAATCAATTAAAAAATAAATTATTAAAAAAAAAAAAGAGGAAATGAAAAACTATCAATAACAAACCATTGGGAAGGATTAGTGGTACGTGCATTAAAAAATTAATGTTACTAATTTATGTGCTTTTCCTTATATAAACCAACTTAATGTTACTCATGCTATTACGAGGAGGAAAAACATAAATGCCACAAAGTTTTTTCTTTAAATACCACAAAGTTAAATGATGGAAACCATTGTAGACATGAACAAGACTTTTCAAATAAATATGAGAAAGTGATTAATTATTAATATTAGTTTGTATAATTTATCTCAAACTATAATATTTGAAAACTACACTTCAATAATTTCAACAAGTAACTATAAAAACATACGAGAGAGAGGTGTTGGGTTGTTGGCAATAGTTAAAAAGTACGAATAACTTTGCAAATACAAATATCCAAACTTAAATATTAGATTGATTTTTTAAGCTTGAAAAATATAATTCTAAATAAAATTATAACTATAACCAAATATTTAAAACTTGCAATGAGTTAATATTATTCAATCAACAAAATTAAATCATTTCTGTTAATAAGAATAGATATTTAATTTTTGAATTAACAAAATGAAAAATAAATCCTATTCAATTTCTTTCCAAATCCATCATATAAGTAAACCCTTCTTTTTCAGTTGAAAAGACTTTTTGATACAAAAATTAGATTTTTTACAGGAATAGCATTTGTGGTGGAATGAATAAAATTTAATGCAAAATTATAATATAGTAATAAGCATCAACTGCAAAATCCTATAATACTCTTGAATAAATTTATTCATATAATTTCATACGTGGAAAGTTAAAAACAAAAGGAGTAGATTAATTAAAATGTTGCGGTTGAATTTACTTTTTGTGACAATAATTTATTTTCTTAATATGTTGAAAATAATTCTTATGGTATTTCTTATATATTAAAGAACCAGAACAAATTACATTTTGCTCGTGAGCAAAAAGAAGGCGCTTCTATCAATTGAATGAGATGATTAAGAACTTATACGGGATAGAGTTTCTTTCTTTTTTTGAGTTAGCTAAATAGGATCAACAATTATTATTTTCAAAAAGCTTTTTTGTACGCCAAACAAAAATAAATAAGTAATAAAACGTTTGAATAATTTGAATCAACTCGAAAAAAGAATTCAATTATTCAATTATTATCTAATTGAGTAATTTAACGATTTCCCTTTCATATTTGATATTGATTTTTTTTATTTGATATTGATTAACTCACCAATCAATACGTAATGGAACTCGCTTCGCTTTTCTGATTGATAGATAAAATATTAGGAAATCCTCTATTTACTGAATAATAACTTTTTTAATTTTACCTTTTATTTTATAACTGAAACCATAATAATATAAAATTTATGTAATTCTTTAAAATATTATATTTATTGAGATAGGGTAACATGACTCTAAGACTAGTAATATATAAGAGTGCATTTGCAAAAGAATATTGGCTATGCGGGTGTAAACTAAAAATATGGCTATGTGAGTGCAATGTGTTGTGTTGTGATATATACCTTTGAAAAGTTCTTATTAGCTGCTAAAATTCAAATGATGAGTATGAAGAAACAGAATTCCTCGATAAGAGACTGTGAGAGTTGTATAGTACTTCTCTTTTGAGAGTTAATGTCAATATCAACATTTTTTTAGTTTTATGTATACCAGTCACCTTATATAATAACATTTTATCATAAAAATTAATTTTTTATTCAGAACATATTTTTCCAATA